GAGAGACTGTCAGATGGATAGCTAGAATATTTTTATTTCCATAACCAGCGTAAGGAGAAGAAAAAAGAGATATGTCTTATTTCACAAAAATACGCTCTCAGAATAACTAGCCCCCCAGTGGCACAGCGGTATATCTGCGGACTTACAACGCTAGAATCCGGGTTTCGATACCCGTGGTGGACAGAGCACAGATAGCCCATTGTGTAGCTTTGTGCTTAATTACAAAAAACAGAGTAACTAAAACTGATAGACACGAGATGATTTCTCCATCAACCCAACTTTTCAGATGCTAAGTGTGCCCCTTTTCTAAAATTATGATAAGGATATATTTGTCACTGACGGACAGACGAATGAGCTGGAAAGACTGAATTATATGTTTAACACATCACGGGTTGTGAGAAGTTCAATCAGCGTAGGAATCAGGGTGGTTCTTGATAAACTCTGCAAGTTTTCGAATATAAACTCTACTCTATAAGGTGGAGAAAATATACTTTCTATAAAATATTAAACAGACAGCAGTCCTTTAACGTTTGGGACCGACAGAGGCCTAGTGGTTAGCTTACCCGTAATGTGAATCCATGGTTCGCGTTCCAATGGGACTGAACGACTAATAGTCAAATTACACTATTCGGTCAGATAAGAGTAGTCTAAGAATTAGCGGTGAGTACTGTTAACTAACTGTCTTTCCTGTATTCTACCTCAAATTAGAGTAATCTAAGAATTAGCGGTGAGTACTGTTGACTAACTGTCTCTCCTGTATTCTACCTCAGATTAGAATAGTCTAAGAATTAGCGGTGGGTGCTATTTGGCTAACTGTCTTTCCTGTATTCTACCTCAGATTAGAATAGTCTAAAAATTAGCGGTGGGTACTATTTGGCTAACTGTCTTTCCTTTAGTTTTTCTCAATTAAAGTAGTCTAAGAATTAGCGGTGAGTACTGTTGACTAACTGTCTTTCCTTTAGTCTATCTCAGATTAGTCTAAAAATTAGCAGTGAGTACTGTTGACTAACTGTCTTTCCTTTAGTCTATCTCAGATTAGAGTAGTCTAAAAATTATCGGTAGGTGCTGTTAACTAATTGTCTTTCTTTTATTTTATCATTTTAAAAATAATGCCGGCTATGCGCAGACATTCTGAAACAAATAAACTTCTACATTGAAAAAAAAATGCGAAATTCACTCCAGTAATTATATATAACATTTAATTTTTCATAATATATAGAAGCCCTCGCAACAAAAATTTGTGCTCACACCGCCGAGGGCATATTCCCCTGGGGCTTAGCAAGAAACTTGAGAGCTTATAATGCTAAAATTTGGGGTTCACTTCTTCCAATAATTATAGCGCAGACAGCCCAATCTGCAGTTTTGCACTTGAAATAAACAGATTTCCTATGAATAAAAGTTTGTGGCTTTATTCATTTCTTTGTAAGAATGCTCCAAAATTCCTTTTGTTTGATTTGTTTTAAATTTCGCGGAAAGCTACTCAAGGAGTATCTGCGCTAGCCGTCCCTAATTTAGCGGTGATAGACTAGAGGGAAGTCAGCTAGTCAACACCATACATCGCCTATTTATCCTTGAGCAAATGAACATGAGTAGAAAAAATACATACATTAACATATAACACTGCACGAAGATTAAAGCCTTTCTTTAATATATAAACAGTTTATCAAGGTTATTTCAACATACAAATAAGGAAAAATAAACTAAAACAAGAATCTTAATCTTCTACAACTTAATCCCAACGGAAACTGTAAAGATGAACAAATGTCACCACGTTCATTCTTCCCTACATATAAATTAGGGGTGT